GGTCTGTATACTTTGTGACTTTATTCCTGGTTACCGGGTCTGTATACACTCCCATATTATATTCATGGGTAAAAATGGACACGTGACTCATTGGCTAGCCCTGACTACCCGATAGGCCCGACCTGTCCCGGCCCGACCCGATTGCGTATGTGGGCACCCCCTATTATGGAACTAATGCTCCCTTCAAATCCCCGGAGTAGATCTAGATCTACTGGAACTTGGTTTGTTTGGGAAATTTTCAAGGTTTTCCACACACTATCTAGATCTAGATCTTCTTTACGATATACGAGGCACAACATTCAGAGACTAGTTTCTTGAATACTTCACATTGTTGAAAGGGGAGTTAAATCTGTAATTCGCAGTAATTCACATCAAACCATATTAACTCTTTCTGGACGTAGTTTTTGGGGGTCTAAACGTAATTGACTTGTGGCTCAATTTGGCAGCACAGGTGATGTACAAAATAACTATTCATATATATATATAAACATAACCATCACTCAAAACGTAACATTATATTATGTATCAAATTGAAGGAAATTGAATGAGGAATACATCCCAACATGAAACAAGGATTAATTTTGAACATAAGTGTGCATTACAAGGGTTAGAAATGGTGATGAGAAAAATAAATTTTGACGGAAAAAATAACATTCACCAAACATGTGAAAGCAAATCAGCATAGCTATCCTATCATACACAGGCCAAGAGCATAATCCATAAATCTCTGAATGTGCAGCTTTTTATTTGAAAGCCATTTTCCAATTTTTGTTAAGAGAGAGTTATGATATTTATACTGAGTCCGGTTACATCGTTTTGTTGTGATGCAAGACCGCAAGAACTAATTCACTCGTTTTTCCCCAAACTCACGCTTTGACGAAGCGAAACTAGATGTTTTCGTTTCCTAAATCCTTTCCAAGTTTTCAATAAAAGTAAAAAGTAATTATAAATGATGGATCGTGTTAAAACGAAACAATACTGAGGCACCCTACCACAGCCGATATATTGGCGATATGTTCGCTAAGGGTGTGAACTCGCGCCTATATATTGGGGATACGTCCGGAAAGAGTAAAGAAGGAACTTTGATGTCATACACACTTCAGCCTCAGGAACTTGGCGAACTGGTCTGACATCTCAATGAGGGAAACTTGGATTTATTACTGTTTATTTTATAAAATTCTTTTTTTTAAAATGCAGAGGTGTTTTTACACACCCTCACATCGATAAAATTTGATAATTTAGTCTGATTTAGAAGAGTATAGAGAAGGCAGGCATGGACCTTGCCTCTCAAGGCCAACCTGGGCTGAAAGGGACACAAGGTCACAGAAGAAAAACTGAGATACTTTAAAAAAGATTTCTCCATACAGAAGTGGAACCAGGATCTCAAGTGTATGATAGTGAAGGGCCTAATACCGGGTGCACATTGGCATGATCGGGTCAGTTGCTAGCCAGATTGAGGACGCAAAGCGGCTATCGTGGCACAAATCGATCGCCTGTCTCGTTGCCTAAAAAACAAACATGTTTGTTTTCAGGCAACGAGTCGGGCGATCGACCCTTCCCGATCCCATCCGCAATGGGCACCCGGTAGAGCTGCCATTCTACACTACAGACACCAGTTTCCCACTGGTACTGTGTGCTCAAAGCTGAAAGACAGGCCATGGGCAGGGCACATCTATGGAAACTTTGAAGTCAGAAACTATCATTCAAGAAATTGAAGGTGACCTCTTCAAATATTACTGTTGATTGGATTGACTATTATGTAATGAGAACTATACTGAAACCTGTAACAAATTAAAGGTTGAGAAAAAGAGACCTGGATGCTGGAGCAAAGACTTTATTATAATCCAAGATGCTATGTTTCTCCGTAGTCGGGGATTTTAATTGAAAAGTTGATCCACAGACATGACTGGGAGCCAATATCCACACACTGTAACCATCCTCTGTCAGACTTTCATTCTTATAAATTTATGTCCGTTAATGTGGTTTTTGCTAGAAAGAGGTTCATGGAAGATGGTGGACTTGTTAGAGGTTTGAGTTGCCTGCATTCTCTTGACCTCGATCTTTTCATGGAGGGATTGGATTTTTTCATGAGCTTCTGGAGAAAAAAAATTATCAATTTGCATGAGACCTATGCTGAGGACTAGTGGAGTGATTTTTTAAACAAATTCCACACACTATCTAGATCTAAATCTTCTTTGTTATATTAACGATAGGCACAACATTCAGAGACTAGCTTCTTGAATACTTCACATTGTTGAAAGGGGAGTTAAATCTGTAATTCGCAGTAATTCACGTCAAACCAAATTAACTCTTTCCGGACGTAGTTTTTTGGGGGTCTAAACGTAATTGACTTGTGGCTCAATTTGAATTCATATATAAACATAACCATCACTCAAAACATAACATTATATTATGTATCAAATTGCAAACGCTTTCTGGCAAAAAAATGTTTTTCGTAGTCATTGCTAAACAATTGTAAGAAGTATTTAGATACATATTTGTGAAACTGTATAATTTTCAGTGTTCATTGTCACTTTACATTCCGAATAGCCTTCGAACTTAACATTTAAACAATCAGCCCATCTCATCACCAGTTAATGTGACGACTTCGAAAATTGAGCAGAAATATCTTGGTTTTTAATTTTTAAGATTTAATCTTTACAGCTCCAATCGTTTATAGTGGAGTCAGCTTAAGACTGAATATTATGGTTAATCTGAAAACAGTGGTAAATGAAAGACAATAAAATCCCTGATATTTGTCCTTCTTTGTCTTTGTAAGAAAATTATTGATGACCTGAAATGGTCCCTTTTCTAAACAAAAAAGAATTTAGAGGGCTATGTAAAATAATAAACCACGACAAGCAACCCTCATGTTACGCTAATTCTCAATTCTTACACACTTCAAGATCATAGCAATACAGGAAAGAGAGACATGAGAAGGCAGGTGTGGACATAGAGCTAGAGAGTGAATTTTGTTCATCCTTTAGATGCCTTCAAATATGAGAGTCAATTGATTGACCATAATGTTCTTTCTTTTTTTTGAATCAATTTTAATCTCTGTTTTGTTTTAATGTTTTGAAATTCTTTGATTTCAGATAAGTATTTTAAATGCAAGCAAACAAAGTTTTAACACCACAGTGGAATCTCAGGAGGAAAAAATCAGGTGCCTTGAAGTAAGTTTTACTTTTCATGTAGGCTTCAGAATTGTGTACAACATGAGTTACTCTATCGTCAGTGCTCCTTTGGAACCTCATTAACTCGAATTTTGAACTTTTACAGGAGAGACACAAAACAGTCTAACGTTGTTATCGTTAACCTTTTTGCAATCAAATTTTTTCAATATATTTTGATGGACCTTAGACAAAAATCCTGCTGTGAAGTATGTGTTTTATCTGAGTGTTTTATAACACAATCTGAGTTAGTGGCAAAACATTTTTTGTGCAGAGAGGTTCTCCGCCTCAAGCGCTGCTCCATTGAACCTCTCTAAGGTATTAGCAACATCTCTACTTGTATAGTTTGAAGAAGTGTAAATTGACCTTCAAATTGTGTTCAGTTTCAGGTATGGACATTCTAGGAAGTTTTTTTCTTCATTTAGAAAGAAGGGTTATGTCTAAAGGTTGTGTTCTATGTTTCATGTACTAGTGCCTATTTTTAAGATTTAAGCTGTTTTTCTTTTTTTTGGTTGTCGTCTTCTTTTCAGGACTGAAGATTTGTGAGAGACTGGAAACTCAATCACAATTACTTAATTTGACAGGGCGAACCAAAATATGGATGAAAATTTGAGAGAGAGAAAGAGAAAGAGAGGGAGAGAGAGATGGCAGAGTTGAGAGGAAGTCTTTGCAGGTGCCCCCCTCATTAACATCTGACTTGAACGAATGAGTACAAATGGAGCATGTTTAAACTTAAACTTAAGAGAGTATCTCTAGAAATTGTCTTAAACTGTTCTTTTTCTAATCTTAACTTTTTTTGGTACTAATGGAAATTGTTTTCCTCAGGCTACTATTCAGAGTGATTATGTTCCCAGAGATGTACACGAGAGTCTTCAGAAGAAATTAGAGGTATGATGTGGCTATTTTAACCCCCCAGGTGGTGTCAGGGGTAATTATGATTTCACCATATTATGTTGGAAAATGTTTTAGAACAGGCAAACCAAGCAAGTGAAGGCAGTGACCTTGTCTACACATTTTCAGATAGTGGAATGAAAATATGAAGTAGAGCACATTTGTGAAGTTGAAATGTTTGGCAGTGTAAAAAAAGTGGGATAAAAAAAATGAAATAGCAACTCAAATTATGACCGATTAAATCAGCTGCAACACCACAGAAGGAAATTTTTATTCTGTCAACCCTTAGAGGATTAACTTTGTTGTGGTTGCAAAAATGATGTGGAAGTTTTTCAGTAAACTGTCAGAATAATGTAAAGCTGCCCATTGGGATGAGAATAAGGTGTTGATCTGAGTACGACCATTATGATGATTATCCTATTACATATATTGTTTAGAGTTTTCTTTACGCTCTAATATCCTTTACTAAGAATGTGAATATTGGCTAAATGATAAGCTTACATGTTGTTTTGTGAATCCATGTGTGCTGCCAGAGTGCTGGATTTGAATTTTTTCAAACTGAATTTTCTCATTTGAGCTGTCTAAGCTCTTAAATTGATGAAAGAAATAGATGATACCTTTTTTGTGTTTTCAGGATGACCATGTGCCATTGGATAAATATAATCAGCTGAAGAAACAGTTTAAGGTACTTGTTTCTAACATCTTTTTCTTAGAGAAATATATCATTGCTTTAAGAGCTTCATCTACTGATCGTTTACTCCTCTTGTCTCAGGATTTTTTTTTTACCTACCATTTTAATAAGGGATATTTACTGAAAGGTGAATTGACTTTGGGATTAAAAGAAATATTCGCAGAATTATTGAAGATCTAGGATTCTGAAACTCAAACATGTAGTACTTATGCTTGCGTTTTTTAAATTGTAAAGTTTTCGCTTGATTCTACATCTTATGTTACTGGACTTCTTGTCTCTTACCCTGACACAAGACTGTCCTAATTTTGTACCATGCAATATGCTCAAAACTGACTGTCTCATATTCAAACCCATCAATGGGGAATACTCTGATTGAGGAAGTTGATAATGTAGATAGTCTCGATACTTCTAAGGAAAGCTATATACTTGCTTTCAATAGAAATTCTTTATTATTGTTTCAAGACATATTACTGCATTATTTGGAGAAGGTCTGCAATATTTTGTGTGCTCAAGTTCTTGTGTAGTGTGTGTGTGTGTGTGTGTATGTATGTGTGTGTGTGCGCGCGTGTGTGTGCATGCATATACGTGCATGCCAGTGTATGCATGCCTGCATGTGCATGTGTGTGCATGTGACCGTTTGGATGTTTTTATTTTTGTGTGTCTGTGAATGGTTAAGGATCGAACGGAGCATATTTCAATACCTATAAAGGTTTAAGGCCCTAATGAAAGTTCCCCCCCCCCCCTGTCCAACATTAGTGGCATCATGTTTCTGTTTTTTTTAAAATATTTTATTTTACTCTTTCAAAAGGAGGAGTGTGAGAAGCATGTTCAGACCCAGACCAGGCTGAGAGAAGTCCTCGACCAGCTGGACAGTTCACTACATCAAATTTCTGGTCTTACCATGGAAAGAGAAAAGGACAAGGCAACATTTGAAGCAGGGTAGGTGCTGACCATAATAGGAGAATGCTGAAGTCTTATCATTGGCAAGTTGTTCAACAGTTGTAAGCCCAGAGTGCAAACATTTTCGGGGGAAAGAAAATGAACTATTTCTTGACAGAACGCCACATATATCTATTTTTCAGATGTTTGAGGAAATTGGAGATTTCTGTTATTCACTCATTTACTGAATGAACTAAGCAACATTCTTTTTAGGGTAATCACGATTCTTATCCTTGAAGTCTCCACACATTTTTGACAAAACGAGACATATCCGCAAAAGAAGTCAAATCTTTATAGAATGATATTAATTTTTTTTTACCCTGTTTGATGGTAAAGTTTCAAGTTACAAGCTTTGTGTACTCTACTGAGTTTTCAGTTAGACCTGTCACTTCTTATTCTTAAGTAATTTTTTTAGAAATGATTTCTGATCATCATTCATCAATTTTAATAAAGGGAAAAGTATGCCTTTGTCAAATGATATCTGTATTTCAATAAATTAATTACAATTCTTTTAAAGCGGGCGGAAAATTGTCAGGGCAAGATGTGATAAAATTTCAGACCTTAAAACTATGTATAGAACCATGCAAGTGACAGTGAGGAAGAAAATGATTAAGCAGCCACATTATATATTAACAGTGAACAGGGCTTGAGATGACTAATGTTACAAATAAATATGCAAGCGATTTTGCTGATGTTTTTGACAAACATGGTTATAGTCTGTGTGCAAAACTAAGAAATTCCTTTCTGCCCACAGGTACGATGCTCTTCGTGATGAAATATCTGCACTTCTGAAGAGAAATAGTGAACTGGAAGAAAAGTTGGATGGTAATATCTCTCATATCTTTTTAGAAAAATTGAACAATAGTCTCCGCCTAAACGCACGCCATACAAAAGCACACTCCGCTCAAACGCGCACTTTCGTCATCTGACCGTTTTTTTTTACTACATAGTTTAGATGTACAAACGCATGGTCACTCCCTCTAAACGCACGCTCCTATTCAAGAAACATGCCAACAGGTTAAGCTTGTCAAAGGGAACTTTTCACCAGAACCTGCACAGCTTGCATAAGACAAGCATTGACACCCGGATATTTGACGAGACTGCCCCTCACGCCGAACAAAGAGAATGATGGACAGCGTTTTCACATCCAACTTTCCACCGACACATATGTCTAGGACTGGTTTGTGAAATGTTGGGGGGGGTTAAGGGACTGAAATGTTTTTTGATTGGTCACTGGAAATGTATCTTTGAGAGAAGGTTGCTGACTGGTGTCTGGGTGACTGCATTGTTTCGTTAGACCTAGGCCTATGATGCGCAACACGCGTGAATGCTGTAAACACTAGACACTAGATAGGCCTCTACTCTATAGGATTAAAGGTTATAAACCTAATCAGGTGTGTTCGAAGAACTTATAACGTACTTGTTCAAAGAATCACAACAGAAAAGTTTCTCTGAATGTAGAGATCTATGATTCTTATGTCGTCCATGAATTTACGGTCGGGGGTGGTCGCTTGGAAAGCCACGTGGCTGGGCCGTCGTCTCCATGACTATCACCAACAATTTCCTCTTAGGCTATCCGTTCCCGAGATTTTATGGTGCATATCATTACATTGAGTCTGTCTTTCTTACACCCACCCCCACCCATTCAATGCCTTTGTATTCTTAACCGCAGTCGGGGAATCCTTCTCAGAACTGTCACGTATCGTCACATTATCAACCAAAGTGACCCCCTCCCCAAAGGGAGGTCACAAGAATATCAAGGCAATGAGATGACTGCGTACCTTCCTCCCTTTGCAAAGGTTCATGTAAACGCACGCTTAGTACAAACACGCACTAAGGAGCCCTCCCGAGCACCGTGCGTTAAAGCGAGACTACTGTAAAACAGTGTTTGTTTTATAATGTGTTCTTGTTGTACACACAAAAATTGGATCAGTACATGATAGGCTTATCATTTTATCTCAATCAGTAACATGCATTTTCTGATGAGTCATTGTGTATTCAGCTGATTTCTATTTTGACCAAAGATGTTTCGTTTGTTTGAAAAATATGTTGCAAAAGCCTGGATTTTTCCTTTTTGGGTTGTACTTTTAACAAAGTGGAAAAAAAAAAAAAGAACATCAAATGGGAAAACAGGATTCAGCCAAATATACAATGTGGACTGATAACATCAAGGCATGGACTGGCCTAAATATGACAGAGTGGATGACGGCGGCTAGGGACCATAAACAATGGCGGATCATTACACGTCAACCTCTGAGCCAGAGAGAAAAGTAATGCTTGGACATGAGAATTCTTAAAATGATCTCAGAATAATGAATTCTGCATTGAATTTATAAATCGTAACATAACTGACAATGCAGTCTATTATTTGAAACTCTAAAATTGTATTGAGTTTAATCATTTTCTTTTGCTTTTCTTCTATTAACTTATCGTGCAATTGTTGAACCTATCGAGCTAGTGGCATTTGGGAAACACGACCACTTTAGGTTAGGGGAGGCCGATCCTAGGGTAAACTTTCCCACGTATAAGTGCTGCATTTTGGGTCCTCACTTAGAATATAACATGCCTATTGCTGCTCAGCTTAAAGATTCACAAACAGGCTGATAAAAAATGAGCCATTCCTGTCAGAGGAGATCCAGTATAAGGCTGTCTGCATATTGGCTGCTACATCACCCATCCTCTGACACTTACTTAACCTCCAACTTTACGCTGCATCTGCTTCTCATAGAACTAGAATCTTGTATTGCAGTTGAGTGCGCTCAAATAATGGGAATTTGCAGTCATGAGAGTTTTTTTGGTTTAGCCGTGTTTTCAGTTTAGGGAGATTGCTGAGATTCTGGAGTAAAAAATGGGGGATTCTACTTATGTTTGTTTTACCACTGTTTTTGGATTAAGTGTGTTCAGTTTAAGCGGGCTCCTCTGAAATTCCTTCTGTGCATGAGAGTTATTCAGAAACTGCTTTGTCTTATGACATGTTTATATATCCAAGAAACGTTACCCAGTATACTGCTGCTCATCTTTAATTGCAGATAAATGTAAAGTTAACAGTGAGTTGGAGGACAGGATCACGAGGCAGCATGGAGAGATTGAGGACTTGCAAGAGCAAAAAGTGCAGCAGAAGTTGAAGTTCCGACAGAAAATGACAGAGACTGAGGTGGCAAAACAGCAGGAAGCTTACCTGAACCGAGTCCTTAGTGGTGAGGAAAAGAAGAAAACAAAAAGATGACATTTCTCAACATGCTTGAATTGTTGAGATTTGAACCTGTCACAGTTGTGGATTCAATTCCTTTAATTGAGTAGGCCTATATGCCATGTTTAGGTGGGGGGGTTTTTACGAAGTGTATACAGACCAGGTAACCGGGAACAAAGTCACGAAGTATACAGACCCGGTAGGGTAACTATTTTGTGATTTCGGGAAGTTTCAGACCTCAGACCCGGTAGAAATCTTTTGTGTGTGTGTGTGTGTGTGTGTGTGTGTGTGAGAGAGAGAGAGAGAGAGAGAGGGGGGGGGGGGGTGCTAGCAAAATGTATATGACATGCCCCAGTTGGCAGGAGGGAACGAGAGAAAGATAGAGTGGGAAATAGGTGGGGACAAAGAAATACAGAGACAAACAAAGAAAAAGAGAAGGTGAGCGGTACACAGAGGAGAGAGAGAGAGAGAGAGAGAGAGAGAGAGAGAGAGAGAGAGAGAGAGAGAGAGAGAGAGAGAGAGAGAGAGAGAGAGAGAGAGAGAGAGAGAGAGAGAGAGAGAGAGAGACTGCTCGATTGAAATTATGACATTGTAACTTGTTCTTTTCTTCGGATTGTGATTCCTCCTATTCCAAAACGGAGGAAAAACCATCGTTCATCGAAACGACATCCGCAATCTTCATTTAGATCTAGGTTAGCCGCAAAACTAGATGAAAGATTTATGTCTGTCTGCCTAGATCTAGACCTAGACCATAGATGTAGAAGAACCTAGGTTTACCCTGAGCCATGAGGGCGCTGAAACTCTCCGAAATCACAAAAGAGTTCCCCTACCGGGTCTGTATACTTTGTGACTTTGTTCCCGGTTACCGGGTCTGTATACACTCCCTTTTTTTAATTATTGATATTTTAAAAAACTTGTCAGGAAAAATCTTAGAAAATGGGGTTCTACTCTACTTGTAAAAGCTCAGTATTTTATTTTTCAATTGCTTCGAAAAAATTCTACTGTTGTCGTACAAGGATAACAATGATATCACTTTATCAGTGCCCATGCTGTTAATTTAACAAAGAATTATTTCTTAGACAGCTTTTGTAAGGATGGCTATTTTGATTCTGCTCTGACATTGTATGTTCAAGCACAAACTAGTTTCCAATTGTTTTTGATGATGTTGGAAGTGCGTCACATTGAACTGATAGCAGTGATTCTAGCCCAAGTTCTTGCGCCTAGTCATGTTATTTCTTGTTATTGTCATCTTATCTCTGTATTACTTGTTTACAGAAAGTACTGTCTTCTCTTCTTTAAGTGCTCCAAGAAGCTTGTTAATAATATTTATTTTATTGTTCTCTGTTAATAAAAGATGAAATCGTTCATATATACTAAGACTTAGAATACAGAAACTATAATGTGATTTGACTTTTGATTACAGTGTGAATCGGTCTGAAAGTAAAGGGTCTTGTATTTGCCTAGTACTGCTTGGATTTGTAGGCAGTAGAGTCCACTAAACCGAACATGGGTGGTTGGCGGGTGCTCTGGTGTGGTTTGCTTCTTCTTTCCTATCAAACGTCTGTCGTCATTATCTCCCCTCCTTCTTTATTGTGTTTGTTACTCTCTTGTAACACCTGTAATCTTCGGCACTTATGTGACCCTATTGTGTTGCAAGTGCCGTAAAACACTTACTAAAACTAAAACCGAACATGTTTACTCTGAAAACAGTGGTAGACTGAAAGAAAATAACAATCTTTGTTTTTAAAATTTTTTTTTGTAAGAGCAACCACTCTAAACCTTAAACTTGGCCACACGGAAGAAATTCTGGCAGTCCTGTAGATTTCAATTTGAGTGGACTCCACTGTGTATATATTTTGTATGATTGTAATGACATAGGAACAAATATTATCGCTGTAATCTCTGCAAATGAATGACTGTATGAATAAAATCAAATTTATGCACAAAGCAGTTTGTTCTTTCACTTCTATGTTCCAGTCTTCGAACTGCTTGATCAATCTCATCGTGCTGATTAGTGGTTATGGTATTGTGTCTGCATGAATACTGCTTGCAAAATGAACTTTGCTTAAATTGTGTGGCGTGCTGACAAAATGAGTTACTTCTCGAATTTTTGCCTGATGGAAATAGAGATACATCAAATTTATAAGTTGAGTTTTTACAATTTATTAGTATTAGTATGAAATGATAAAAGACATGTTAAACTTGAAGAGAATAGTATCAGTTTAGAATCTATAGATATGACCTTTGTGTTGATTTTCGGCCGATTTCACCTTTCATGGATTGCCAGAAGTAACTCATTTTGTCAGCACACCTCACAAATATAAGTGTGTGGCATCATGGTGAAATCAGATGCTTGAAAAATAATGAAGTTGAAGAAAATCGACATTTTTCTGCCCACTGGGCAATTTTATGGAATTGTTTTTTTGGCCCAACACCTTTCAGGATCATTTTAAAAGATGTTTTCTGTGAATGTGAGGATTTCACAGAAAAATTTTGATCAAAGGCACAAAAAATTTGTACCCACAAAATGTACATACTTGCTGTCACACCTGTACATGTGTACACACTCACTGTCACACCTGTACACACATGTACACACTCGCTGTCACACCTGTACAAGTGTACTCACACTCGCTGTCACACTGTACACTACAAACGTGTACACACTCTCTGTTACACCTGTACATGTGTACACATTTGCTCTTACTCCTGTACACACGTGTACACACTCTCTGTTACACCTGTACATGTGTACACATTTGCTCTTACTCCTGTACACACATGTACACACTCGCTGTCACACGAGTCACACCTGTACCTGTGTACACACTCGCTGTCACACCCATAGACAGAGTTGTTTTCACAAATTATGAGAAGAAAACTTTGAACGAATTCTCTTTAATGTTTATTCAAGTCTCTTTCTCTCTCTCAGACTCATGGGTGAGATGTGGACTACGCAACTTTCGAAGAAGTCTTCAGCATTTTGTGGTACGGAATTATGATAATTCTATTGGCGAATATGATTGAAGTAAAAAATTTGGTGTTCATATGGTCTTATGCAGTTTCGAGCGCCGTAAAACCTCTACTAAAACAAAAGTAAAAAATACGCTTTGTTGTGAAAAAAAAAATAAAAAAAAATACCCGTGTGAAGCAGAATTCAAACTCGATCAAGGAGAAGGGAGGTAAAAGCTATATAAGAATAGAAGAAATAGACTAAATACAAGTTACGTCCCTTGAATGTTTCTACGAGCTCATGGTTTGGCTGCAGAGTTCAATAACTTTACTAATAATAATAGTCAGTGCTAAGAAATTCAAGGTTCCAATCTGATGTTGAGCGGCCTGAATTTCTTTCCTTCTTTCTTGAATATTTTCTCTTTGACTGTTCGCCTTACCAAAGAACATAGCCTTTTTTCTTCGTTCTGGCCTACTCTGGAGTAGTAAGTGAAACTAGCCAAGAACGATTTACTGCCGTGTAGGCCTAGATCTATTTATGGATTAAGGGCACTGTTCATAAAACTTAAAATGCTAGCTTTAAGATTGTTTACTGATTTCTTTATTCTTAGAATTATAGTCGTTAGAGCTAGGAATCTTTAACACGTGCTACTCTGTTGTGTAGCGACTAGGCACTCCGCCGCCGCAAGCAGAATTTCGATTCTTGTCCAGGGGAAATGTTTATCGAGTACCGGTATCTCGGTCATTCAGCTGTGACGTTGTACATGGTGTCCCACTCGGCCCGGATTGACCCTGGCATGTAGGATCGAAACCCGTCTCCTAAATGGTCTAAACAAAGACTCTTTGGGTCTAAATCGTATCGATAGGGTCTAAAAACACCTACATTAGAACAAAAGTTACCCCCCCCCCTAAAAATAAAACCTTAGAACTTGCACAGCAAACGCAGATAAGGCAAAGATTAGTTTATCATAACAACGGGAAGAGGCCAACATAACATCGTGGGGACACAATGTCACCGACAAAGCGTACGTCTCAAATATTGGGAAGTGGTTTGTAATTCCAGCTCATCGAGAGATCCTGGGACACTGTGTGCGCCCGACGCGTGTCTCCCGCATGTGTGTGGTTACCACGACTTCAGTGGACTCGGGCTGTCCCCGGGGTTTTATGCATCCCGCATAATTTAGCAAAATTTGACAATCTTTTTTCATAATTTCTGATTATTTTCCTTTATCATTCTTTGCTGAAATTAATAGAATTGCATAATTTCACATTTTCGGCTTATTTTGCATAATTTCTGAATTTATTTTTGCGTAAAACCGCGGGGACAGATGTGTTGATAGACCCTGACTAGGTCGGTGACTAGTGACTATAATAATACATGTAGTGCGATCAAAAATTCGTAACGCAATTTGGTCGCTTTTAAGATGATACCAATAACTTCATATGCCCCAAAATTGACGAGCGCCTGACTCCAGCGCGTTGTAACACATTTTTTGTATCCCTCTCGGCCCGGATTGGCCCTGGTACGTAGGGTCAAAGTCTGTCTCCTAAATGATCTAAATCGTATCGATGGGGGCGTAAAACACCTACATTAAAAACAAAAGCCAAAAACCCCACTAAAAATAAAACCTTAGAACTTGCACAGCTGACGCAGATAAGGCAAAGATTAGTTTATCATAACAACGGGAAGAGGCCAACATAACATCGTGGGGACACAATGTCACCGACAAAGCGTACGTCTCAAATATTGGGAAGTGGTTTGTAATTCCAGCTCATCGAGAGTGAGAGATACTGGGAAACTGTGCACCCGACGTATGTCTCCCGTATGTGTGGTAACCACGACTTCAGTGGACTCGGGGACAGGTGTCTGTCCCCGGGGTTTAATGCACCCCACATAATTTAGCAAAATTTGATCATTTTTTTCATATTTTCTGATTATTTTCCTTTATCATTCTTAGTTGAAATTAACAGAATCGCATAATTTCACATTTTGGGCTTATTTTGCATAATTTCTTTTTTTTTCTTCCCGTAAAACCGCGGGGACAGATGTGTTGATAGACCCTGAGAAGGTCGGTGACTCGTGACTATACTAAAATGATACATGTAGTGCGATCAAAAATTCGTGACGCAATTTGGTCGCTTTTAAGGACAAGCGGGCTAACCCAGATTTCGGGGGTTTTCAGAAATCTTGACCAACACCAAAAGTGGATATTGCCCTACCTATAGGAGAAGTTTGGTTTCATTGGTGTGT